TCTTGGCATTTTGTCATTCTTTGTTCACGTGGAAAGACGAGTTATGCTGACAATAAAAATGTATGCTAATTTCTCCTTTATTCAGTTTTTTTCTTCTAAATTTTATCTGATAGGACCAAAGAGCAACGTGTTTAGTCCTCATAATTTGACAAAAAATCTGACTCCCACATTGATGAAGACCAGGAGCAGGTTTCAGACGATGAGTGCAGGCAGCACTACTGACACTGACGGTGGCACCAGTCCACTGTGGGAGTGTGAGGAGGTAAGTGGATTTTCTTAATTCTTATTTTTATCCATGTGTAATTAAAGACCAATAAAGTTTTTTTGGCTTGGAGTTTCCTGTTCATAAAGTGTCTCACTCACATTTCATTCCATATTGTGACTTTTTTTTTCTTCAGAAAGAGAATGAACACATGAATGACCAGAACGGGAGAGGGCGATCTGAGTTGAAGGTGCCCAAAGAGGACAGTCCGCCCACAAAACGGGACGCTTTTTGCTTTTCTGATAAGGCCTCTTGCAGTCAATCAAAAAAGTCAAATGAAGCTCATCTTGTAGAAAATAAATCCCATACGAACAACCAGGAGTCTGTCTCCACAGCTCAGGAGAATGTTTGTCAATTAGCAGTTCCCTCATCTGTGAAGAGAACATTTTCAGATTTACAAAGAAGTCCAGGGACGCCAGAGATCCGAGCCAAAAAGAGAAACACAGACTACAAGAGGTTCTATGAGATTCCTGTGGAGACTGAGAGGTTTCACACTGGCTTGACTGGAACATTTTCCACCATCAAAATAGGCGACTTCATGGTCTCCACTGAGGGGATCGAGGCAACTGAAGAGCGGGTGCCGAAGCGCTCCAGTCCCGTTGCTGTAGCCAAAAGTCTGTTTTATGAACTGGAAGAGCCGGTGGAGGATATATTTGAAGGTGGAGCCAAAGACCTGTCACACACGAGTTTCACGTCACCACTTCCTGGGACAAGTGACATTTGTAGGAACCTGAGCATGGACTCTGACGGGTCTATGCACGAAATGTCTTTCACTATAGACAGCCATCCATCCCTCCAGCCAACTGAGCCTGTCAAACACAGGAATTCATTATCACCAGAGGAGGACAAAGAAAGTAAAGACTCCTTCTATACTGCATCACTACCAAAAACTCCTGTGGCCACTGTTGAAACACCTAAACTTGGTCATTTTCTGGAGAGAGATGAATCTCGCTGTTTCTTTGCGAACCGACTTCCCGAGCTCGCTTGCAGTGATGCGGAGTCCCCTTTATTCCTCAAGCCGCGAAATGTCGTGGCCTTCCGTAGTTATTGTAGCTCCATTAATCGGTCCAACGTGTCCGGGGTGTCCCGACTTAGCATTGGATCTGTGGAAGCTATGGACGTGTCCACAACGGCTTCTTATAACGTCGCATCTGGAGCTGCAACACCAGTGCAGAAGAGACCCAGCTCCAGTGGTTCTCTCTATCAGGTAGGCACGGAAGGACGAGGAATACAGCAGTCTGCATAGCCCCAGAAACGCAACCTGACGCTCTCATTGTTAAGACAGTACTTTTATTTTTGTGCTCAACTAGAGTAATTTTGCTTGTCTCACAATTTAAATCAATTGCTTTTTTATCTTATCAACTTCCTGTCCTCTGACTTTAAGTTGACTTTCTTCTAATTGGTTGCCCCTCTTTAACTGAAGTTCGAAGATCTTCTACATAACTGACAATGACAAGCACTTTAATAAAGTTTGGCAGTCACAGGTTACATTTATGATTCAATAAAAGGCAGTTCTATAGGATTATGTACATATTAATGAACTTAATGCTTTTGTTTCCTCAGACTCCTCAGCCCATGTCGACCTCTCATACCCCTTACAGGACTCCAAAGAGTGTCCGAAGGGGAGCACTGCCTGTTGAGAGAGTACCAATTTTAGGAACCCCTGACTATTTGGCTCCAGAGCTTCTTCTGGGAAAACCACATGGTAAGAGAGAGAAATCTTCAAAAGTTCTGTAACGATGACAAAGCCAAAGTCAGTCAGTCTCAGTCTTGTTTTAACTGAATAGTTTTCTTGACATTGTAGCTCTTGTGACAGGCACTCTCTTTTAGTTTCAGGAAGTGGTCAGTGTGGTAAGTTTTTAACATTAATGTTTCTTTGCAAGCGAGCTTGCATGTTCCCCGTCCTGCTAATACGCTGTAGGAAGTGAGCGGATTCCTGCCCCGTTTCCCTTTCCCCGCTGTTTCTGCCCTTTGGATCGGTGAACAAACTGTGGGCCTAATTAAAGGGGAAAGGGATGGTGGTTCAAGTGTGTGATTCTAAAGGTTAAAGCATTGGGTCTTTCAAGTCTCTTTTAACACCATTGTGCTAGCAGGGGAATCAGATTAGCTGTGGCTGATGTGCTTTTAATTTGGCAAAAAAAGATTTTCTTCTTTTTGTTCTTATAAATCTATAGAATTTGAGCAATTCTGACACACTGTCAATGCACAGTGGCACTGGCATCACACAGAATGTCATCTAATAATAACTTATTGATCTGCCATGCTGTTATTAATTCAAATGTTAACACATTGAGGGCAGTGTCGCCTGGCAGTTGCACAATGCCATTTTGTAGCTTGATCGCTGCTATTTGACTTCTGTGACATGAATTTATTCATCTATTGTCTTATTCGCTCAATAGTAGAGACCTATAACTGTAATCATGGTTTTAAGTCTATGCAGCTATCGAGAACTAAAAAATAAGTCTTGAGAAGCACAACGTTTGCAGGCACCCTGTTTGTTTTACCCTCAATGAACTCTGCCTGTTTTAATTGACATCAAATTTTAATACAAACCAATCCTAATGATATGTTTTTAGGTTTTTGTATGTGAGAATGAAAGAATATTTTCTTCCCCAGTACTCAGTATCTAACGTAGTCCCTGCTTTTGCCACTGCGATGCAGTTAGTGTGCACTCTAACAGAAATCACAGGGAAAAGTGAGGCGTTTGAGGCCCACGGCTGTACAAAAATGTGACTATTCCTTCTTCTTTTGTTGTTGTTGTTGTCGTCGTCTACCCGGGCAGACTTCATGGTGGATTGGTGGGCGCTTGGTGTGTGTCTTTTCGAGTTCCTCACAGGTGTGCCGCCATTCAATGACGAGACGCCCCAGCTGGTCTTCCAGAATATTCTGAACAGAGGTGGGTTTGCTCTTCTCTTCCAACCCTCAAACACAAAACCATCTAAAATATGTAACTCATTAAGCTTCTTCTCGATTACCAACACGCCTACGTTACTATCAACTATTGTAGATATACCCTGGCCTGAGGGGGAGGAGGAGTTATCTGTAGACTCCAGGAATGCCATTGAAATCCTGCTGACCATGGACATGACAAAGCGCGCTGGCTTAAAAGGTAGAGACCACCTTTCAAAATAAAAGACCAAAAGAGAAAGAAACAACTGGCTTTATAAATAACTATCCCATGAAGTGAAAATTTCAACAGTATTTGTCATCCAAACAGAAATAAACACATCAATAAAAACACAAATTATTGTATTTTTTAAACATGAATAAATAAGGAAAAATGTAATATAAATACAGAAAATTCACCCCATTTTAGAACAGATTAACTTAACATAAAATACTTATACCGACTTTAGAAGTTGGAAGTTAATTTGGACCTATGTTCTCAAAAACAAAAGAAGAAGAAGAAATGGGCTGTTGTGTGTTTTGCTGTTTGTCATTTGCCTATATTTTCCGTTAGAACTGAAGTGCCACCCCCTGTTTCACGGCCTGGACTGGGACAACCTGCAGAACCAGCCGATGCCTTTCATACCTCAACCAGACGACGAAACCGACACCTCTTACTTTGATGCGAGAAACAATGCTCAGCACATTGCCGTGTCCGGCTTCAGTCTTTAGAAGTTGTTCTCTCGCTCGAATGTATGATGCGAGAGTGATTTTTAAACACTTCAGACCATTACCTTGGATTTCTGCAAGTAAATGCGAGGTGAAGATGTGGATTAGGGTGGCTTTTCCGTTCGCTGTTGTAATATTGGTTTTTAAAGAAAACATTTTACATTTGCGCAATCAAAAAGGGCCACTTAGCTACAAGAAATATCTTTTTAATGTTAGCACTACTGCGTTGCATTACTCTACTAGCAAGGCATCCCTTTATCTGCTGCTTGATTTTGTTGTGATGAGGATGTTAAAGTTAATATGCTCCATTTTCTGCTGTACTGGTACAAATGTCATGTTTCAGTGTTGAAGAAAAACATTCGTAAATAATGTCTTATATACTGTGTGTAAATTTAGTGTAGCGTTGTTTCAAGACAAGATTGTTACTTTATCCCAGCAGGACTTCTTTTATGTAATGTTTCTAATTTTGATTGTTGTATCCGCTCAGTTTTCCACACTACTGGTTAATTCTTGCTACATGCACAATTTTATCTTAATTCTGAGGAAAAAAGAAAAAACAAATAAAACCTGTTTGTAACAAGATGTGTTCTTTGAGTATTTTTGCAGAATTTTATTTGGAGAAAAATCTCAACTATACACTTCTTAAAGAAATTAAATGTGATGGGAATACCAGGAGATGAGCAGTTACACAAGGTGGGCTGGACCAGGCCATAAAGTGGTATAAACCCAGCAACAGGACTGGTATCTGCTGCTTTTTGTGAGGTGGTCTGCCACCCTACTGCTCATCTACATGTACACTCAGAACTAAAAGATCCGTCACTTGCACCCTGTTCTCTTCACAGATGAGAGCAGGGTCACACTGACTATATTTGACGGATGTTGAAGAGTCAGGTGAACGTTAATCATCTAACATGACCAGTTCAGTGATGGTCTGGAGGCCAATCCAAAGCTCGACCTGCGAACCACTTGTACTCCGAGTGCTCTTAGGTATTTGAGATGAAATCCTCAGACCCACAACTGCTGCTGGTGTAGTGGGCACAGTGTGTAGGCAGTTGTTGCTGGCTATAGTAGATTTATTGTGAGGTCTCAAGTAACCACTTATTTGAAATAAAGTGGACAAACCTGCTTTGTGAAAACTTTATTTCAGGCTGAGATTATCACATGCAAACACCACTCTATCCACAGGCAGAGAGGGTGAGAAAGCCTTAGTACATTTCAGTAGAAAGGTAAACTATTGCATTTTTTTCTTTAATTAAAACATAATAGCGCTGGAAAGATCAGTGCTAATGCAGATGCCATACTTTGTAAATATGGCATCATATTACACACAGATGCAATTAAAATATTGCATTTTTGTTTGGACTGTACAGCTATTGTATACAATTTATATGGAGCTCGCTGCTCTGCAAACAATTCACGATTACTATCATCCCAATGAAATTCTTCACACATTAAAATGAAACAACACAGAAAACAAAAATGCATAAACGACAGATGGTGACAAACATTATGCATTAGATATCGGATATCAGATTGGAAGATTTCTGCTAATTCATGGCTCACTAAGTAGTACAATTAGTCTGAATTTGGTCCAGGAATGCAAGGGTTATGCTACAATAAGAGAATGTAAGAAATCATAATGCCTACAATACAAAATACCTTGTAATGCTGAGGCACTTCTTCTATTTAGAAACTAAAGTACAAAACAATCTGAAGTGATGTGCAGACTGATATGTAGCAAAACCGTTGATGAAAACATCCTGAACCTGGTCTGACCTACACACAAACATTCACTTCAACAGAAATCTCACTTTTACAGCTGAAAGCTGGCCAGCAACGTCTTCATTGCAACTGTTGCTAAAAGCAATAAATATTAACTTAGAATTAAAAAGAATCTCACATTTCAGTACATTAATACATTTATTCCTCATTTCTACAGTAATTACAATATTTTACTATAGCAGCATTACCTGGGCAACTAATGAAAGTGAATTGGGGACATTTCTAGTAACATCAAATGAAACCTTAAGCTGAAAACGCCGATTTGTGTGCAATAATATCTCAGTTACGGAAATAATTGAGAAGCTACTCTACAGCTGGACTCAGACCATTTCTTACAGAGAAAAAAAATCCAATACAGTAGATTCATCTTGAAACAGTTGGATAATCACAGACAGCAAGCCCATACTTTCATCTTCCTTTGTGACTCCACCTCCACGCTGCAACGCGCCTGAGAGACTGCTTCCTCGCTCTCGTTAGTTTTAGGGGCTTTCTTCATAGTGCAAGAGCTAATTACTGGGCCATGGGTCTAAGCAGGGGAAGAGTTACAGCCATTAGCAACCCAGCCATAATATTTTGGGGATTTGTTATTGTCGTGCCCACGGTGATTTAAGGTGTCACTGGGTTCAGTTGATTCGTCTTTTGGAGAAAAAGAAAAAGGAAAAAATGAAATTAGTTAATATCAGAAATACCTGAAAAGTGTGGGACACTTTACGAAAGCAAAGACTTTTTTTTTTTTAAACCTTAAAGTCAGACAATCTTTTAAGCACTTTATAGCAAAACCAATGTAGCCAAAGAAATGGAGTGAACCTCATATGAGTCAATGCGATTTTAGTAAGATTAAAAAACAAACCAAAAAACTTCCACTCACTCATCGTTATTGTTAACGACCGAGGAAAAGTCTGTTAAGTGCCGGTTGTGAATTTTCACCTAATTTTGGACTATGTGTGTTGTCCATATATTTCTTACCTTCTCCTCCTCTGCAAGTATAGGCGGATAAGCCACTGTACCACAAATGGCCATATAAGAGCAAAGGCCAAACTGGTTGGTGAAATGTCAAAAGGCCACCAGGACGGTTTCTAGGAGGACAAAAAATTGCTATTACAAATGAAACTTGTTAACTTCTAATAATGAACACATGGTTTAAATTAATTGAATCAGCTGGAAATTCAGTAGATTGTTTTCAAAAATTGAATGAAGACTGCAACCGTTTACCTGACTCCTATTATTCACTGGGGGAGATGCATAAGTAGGAGACAGAGCCACTGATCTTGCCTGCCAAAAGAAAGAGAACTTATATTTATTTTATTAGTGATTTATTAAGCAATTCATTTAACCTTTATGAGATTTAATTTAAGAAACTATTTTATTGAGCTAGTCTGTTTTTTTTATATTTGTTTGCTGTCAAAGTGATTTCCCAGCTTTTGGGATAACTGAAGTATATCTTATCTTAAATTTCTAAAGCCACATAGAAATCTATATATTATATATTTTTGGGTTTTTTTGCAAAAATTTTACTTCCTTTTTTTAAATGTTATTAAGCGGAGCAGTTAGCGGATTCCAACAAGCTAACTTTTAAATGAATGTCTTTTGCAAACTCCTTCTGGGTAAACAGTAAGCATCAACAGAAGCTGAAGGTTCTTTGTGTCCAAGGTCTGGACCGTGGCTAAAAAAATATATATTTATTTGCTTTATACACACAGAACTCATCCTGTGCTACATCCTGAATATGATACAAACTTCTGTTTGTTTTCTTAGAGTCATCTCTCCCAGTAACTGTTATTTCAGCTGCTTTTCCACTTTGTCTACAAATCTGCAACATCTCTTTCTCAGAAACCATTTCTTGTGAGTTACTGGCCTTATCCACTTGCAAGTAGCCTTTAAGTCCTTATTATTCCATGTCCTTTTCCACTGGCACCAAAAGATGGTGACAGGTTAACCTGCAGTTTTGGATGAAAAGTGTCTGTTAACTTTTTAATATTAGAGTAAATCAAAATATGGGACATTATCTAAATGTGTGAGACAGGATGGAAATGAATGATATTCAGTCCCACCTGAAGTGGGATACCTAATCGTCCTAATGAATTCAATATAGCAAAATATGGCCATCTACCTCACATCAACGGCGAATTACAAATGACTGATTAACTGAACATGTCTTTTTTGGACTGTGGGAGGAAGCAGCAATACAAAGAGGAAACCCGCGGAGGCACACGGAGATCCTGCAAACTCCACACAACAAGTGCTAACCACTGCACTGCTGTTTTATGTCAATAGTTTTATTAAGACAAAGTTCTTGGTTCTTGAAACAAAGACCAGTTCTTATATATAATTTATATAAAAAAATCCATGTAGTTTAGCATAATTCACCACTAGGTGCATCATATTTGAATTCAGCTCTTCAAACTGTTGCCTTTCACTTGTTTTATTTATGACACTATGACCACCTGCGTTTCCCTTCTCTGTCCTAATGTCACTGTGTATAAAGTGTAACCACTGCTGTTTGAACTGCAGCCAATTTTGGACAGGAGACTCTTGCACAATCCCAGCTTCCTGTTAAAATGAAATACACATAAAAATAAACCTGTAGCATTATGATAAGAAAGCACCTACTGTATAGAGAGGTTACTTAGTTAGCTTCTAGTTTTGTTTACTTTGTCTTCTTCAATATTTTACAGTAAGTTATTATCCTGTCACTAGCCAGCTGTCCAGTCCTGTAGCTGATGCTACTTTATTTAATATATGAGTAATACAATCAAATTCCATTGCCAGCTCATTTTACTCACCATAGATAGCTTAACATTGCTGTCAGTCTTGCAGTCTATAAACCGCAGAAAGCCACCACGAGTAGTTTAATCATTTGCTGTATAGTTCTAAGTTTACATAGTGTAATTATGACAGGAAATTTTGATTTAGATTTAGTCATAGTTTTTTGACTAAAATGTCATAAGATTATGTGTGTGTGTGTGTGTGTGATTATTGTCGCTTAAATCTAAAGCTGATTTAGTTAAATAAAACAAAAAGTTGTAAAAGTTTGCCGTGTTTTTACAGAGGAGAGACTTACAAAGTTTTTTTCCTGACATCAAATGTGAAATGTGTCCGTATGCCTAGTCGAGTCAAATATGCATATCTGTCCTTACTGCACTAGATTAATTTTCAAAGAATTATTATTTTTAAATAAATTGTAAATAAATATAAATGATGAATAAAATAAAAATAATACTGACATTTTTAAAAAAGGCAAAAAATTAAAAAAGAGAAGGCGAGCTTACTCTTTTTTTTTTTTTTCTACACAACTTACTTAGCTCTGATTGGCTGTCACCTCGCCAGACTATTTTCATCTCATTGTTATGCGCTGACAAAAGTGTATGTGCACTTTATCATAGTTTTCTCTTTATGCATTAATTTTTATTTAGCCATTACCTTGTTTACATCAGGAAAAAATAAATAAATAAATAAATAAATAAATAAATAAATAAATAAAAGGTTGTTATTTTACTGATCAACGATCAATGACATTGACACAGCTATGTTTATATTTAAAAAAATAGTGTTATACTTAACTTGCTTATAAAGACCAGAAAGTATTCACACAGAGTGGAAAGATGTAGATAACACTTGATGTTATCTATTATTTTTTCTTAGTTAAGCCTCAAAGAAGCCACATTGTATTTTTTGTTTCGAGTCACTTTCATTGGAATATCATCAGACCTGGCTTGCAGTTAGAGCCTCCAGTGTGTGCAGTCTCTCCAGGACGCTCTGCATGTCCTCCTGCAGTCTGGCCAGCGCCACGACGATCTGCTCATTCAGGTTCGCTCCAGGTGTTCCTGCACCTCCCCAGTGGCCCCCGTCTCCATCTCCAGCACTGTGCATGGGCATCTGAGATCCAGGGCGAAGGCCTGGAGACCTGGAGCCTAAAAATAGAATGGAATTTGAATAACTGACACATGCTCGGGTGTCAGCGCATACAATGGAAGGACAGTCTTTGTGACACTGAAAGGCCACTAAATGGAAAAACAAAAGCCACACAGAGCTGCCGGCTCCACAGAATCATGCTGTCATCCTTGTGATTGCATTTCATAACATTTAAATGCGAGTGTAAAACCCTGTGAATGCAGCCTTACCCCTTCCTCTTCTGACTGAAGAGCCACCAGGCACAGTCACATTCAGCCTCTGTGACATTGCTCCACCTGCCTCTCCATCTTCTCCTCCACATCTGACAACCTGCAATGGACCCTGTACATCCTCCTGAGTCTCCCGTCTCTCCTCCAGAGGCGGCTGGAGGTGGTTCTCTTCTTCATCCAAATCATCCAGAGAGCGGTTATGCTCCGAGTTCTTCAGAAAAACAACAAGATGAGTAAAAAACAGTTCAGTGGGCTAAACCCAGCTGATATTTCTGTGATGTTTAAGTTTTTACTTGCCTCTTCCTGTCCGAACTGGTCCACAGAGTCACAGTACACCTCGCTGTCTGAGTCGCTGGTCAGGTGACTGGGTGCAGACGCAGCTACACTTGGATCTAATGTCATTACAAAGAGGGCAAAAGGGCACACAAAACTCAAGACTTGTTCTCCATTGTGATGACTAGTCTGCACTGTAATTACCAGAGTGACAAAGAGGAAGTTCACTGAATTAGGGGCTTTTTTCTCAGTTTCTACAGAACCATTAATTTTCTCCATTAAGCCTGTCCCAGGAGCAGCGGATGTGTTAAGTGTTGAGATTCAATGTGTGCTGCAGCTCTGGGAATGAAGCTTAGCAGATTATCTGATCACATGGTGCTCAGACAGCTTGAGTGTTGGTGAGTCCTCAATGACTGTTTCGGACCGCTGTAGGGATGTACTGTGGGCTGAAACAGAGCCCTATGTTGGAATATCGGTTTTCCTACCTGGATTGTGTCCGTTGAGCAGAGGCTCGCCAAGTGAACCCTCCTGGGACTTGTCGCTGTTCAGAGCAGCTCTGGAATGACTGCCATTGGTCAGATGGGTGGCCCCGTTAGCGACTTTACCGTTTGACAGCGGAGCTTTTTGTCTCCTAGCTAAAGTTTTCTTCTTTGGTTGTGATGGTCCAGATTTTTTGTCTGTGGAAAAAATATAGAAGATAGAGGAAATCTGCATCTAACATGTAATAATGTCATTTCAGATATTCATACTCAAAAGGAGCAACTTTGTTACCTTTTCTGACCTCCCTTGTCACCATTTCTTCTTCTTCCTCCTCCTCTTCATCCTCCTCATCGTCATCTTCCTCCTCCTCCTCATCATCATCCTGCAGCGCATCTTCCTCTGACCTCACTTCCTTCTGTTTAAGCCTTGCAGGCCGTGTCTCCAGAGTGCCGTTCATTTCCATGTTTCTAACAATGCTCTTTGCGACACTTTTTGATGCCATTGAATTCATCATTGTGCCAAACCCTACAGACACACACACACACACACACACACACACAAACAGAAAGAATTTTATAAGCTCACGAATACTTGCTTAAGATGTTAACATATTAAAATGAAATGTGTCCATTTCTGATTGTAAGGGGAACCTTAACTGTGGTAAGCTACAAGCAAGCTTTCTATGACTGCTAATAAGGACTCAAAGCATCTGAGCTACAACACCAGACAGGAAGTAAAGTATATCAACAGACCCGTGTGTTTACACAGTAATGTACTTGCCTTCCAGTTGCCTAGCAAACTGAGTCAAACGGGCTGAGCGTATAACAAGAGGCAAAAAAAGAGGTTAAACTCCACATCACAAAGTAAAACGTGTGGGCAATCCACCTGGCGAGGAAACACCAACCTGTGCTCAGGTCTGATATCTGCGCGATCTTTTTCTTTTCGTCCACCAGCTCGTAGAACGGGCCGAGGACCTTTAACAGCTCCTCCACCTCGTCAGTCATGGGCATCCCCTCTAGGATCTGAAAACCAAATCCAGAGCGAGCACAATGAGAATATTATCCCACAGTCACAAACAACCAGGAAGTGCTTTAAATTCAAAGTACCGGAATTGCGGCATAAATTATTTGGTGTAACAGGGTTATTCCTGATTCAGATGACTGTAAAGGCAATGTATCTGTGTTACTCTTCACATGGCTTGTGTCATTTGATTACACACAAGGACATGAAACACGGACAGGTTAAAAAGGTGCTTCAAGAGGTGGGAGATGGACGGCAAACGTACCAGTTTCATTTCATCAACATAGGATGCCATTGCTTCTTCTTTGGACATTTCTCCCAGAGAATTCCAGGCATCCCTATCACAATAAATACATAAATAAAATAAATAAAAGCAAGCGAAAGAAGAAAACATGCACTGTTATATAATTTTATAAGGTGGAACACACAGAAGAGAATGTCATGTGTCAGCAAAAGTGTGTTTGAAGGCCTTTGTGCCAGCTCCAGTTTTCAGCTGAGTCAATATGGAAAGACTATTTGAGGACACAAACTAATTTACTAACTTTGGATCACAGTCTGACAGACACTTAAACATTCATTAAAAACTGTACCTACCCATGAAACGTGTTCATTTAGCCTTTATTTAACCACGAAAATATCGTGTTTAAGATTAAAAATAACTTTTTCAAGGGTGTCCTGGGCAGAACAGGCAGCGGTGCAATCAGCAGCTGCGTAGAAACCAGGCCAAAAACAGGCCAGGAGAGTTCAAGCAACTGCCGCAAAGTCCTTTAAAATTCATTTATGAGACCAGATGCTTAACAGGTACAAACAAATTGACCTTTTTGGTATTAATCAAGTTATCTGAATCTAAACATTTAAATGACTACAGAAGGAATAAGTCTTGAGACCAAAAACAGTAACATCCCGCACTTCTTTTGACCAACCTAGTAGATCAAAAACTGCCTTGCAAATAAGAATATAGCTATATCTGAGTCTACAGAAGGACAAAGCAGATCATGGTGAGCAAGGGCTTCAAGGTTTGTGATCAAACTCAATGCTTAATGACAGACTGTATCCAGCATGTGTAAGGACTGAGAAAACACACAGGTACAAGCCCCTCCTTGAGAGAAACTGTCCAGCTTTGTGGGTAAGAGGTAACTGATATATTTTAATGAGTCCAGAGATCACCTGACACAGCCTGAGCTTAACAGAGTGAGATTTTCATTTCTGAATATCACAAGCTGTCTTGATGTGATCGTCAGAGAATAATAAAATATGATAAAACATTACAGCAACAGGGTTTGTGTCTGGGGGACTATTCTTAAAAGTACACTGATCCACATAGATTTAAAACAAGGAGCGTGGGGAAGTGCATGCATCTTCCTGTTACACCATTAGTGCAGGAGAAATAGAGTAGAATAGACTTTATTACACACATCGAGGGAAAATTGTCTTTGGTTCACCAAGCCATAAACAAATCAAACAAATCATAGCAACACAGCATCTCATTATTTAGTATACTGATTGCTCTTGGCACAAATTATTCCTTTTATACCCTGAAATCAAATTTTTTTCCCCATAGAATTGAGTTCTGAAGGAATCCTAAGCGCACAACCACCACCGCCCCCTAACTTACCATTTCGCCTTTCCAACTACATCCCAGAAGCCAGGTCGGGGTATGCTGCATGGTCCCACAGTGGCCTGTTTATAGTAGCTGTAGAACTTGAGCATCATGTCATTGGAGGGCTGAAAGGGACCTGAGGAAAAGAAAACTCTCATCACATAAAAAAGCCTTACCCTCAACGTGCAGAGTTGTGGCTGATTTCTATTTCTTTCAAATCTGTGATGGCTTGGGGACAAAGTGGATTATTTAAAGCGCACAAGCTGCTGCACCGCACCTGCCCGGGGGTAGCTGAGCTGGTTGAACTGGCCTGTGTGTGTATATATGTGTGTCTGTGTGTGAGAGAGAAAGAGAGCTTCGAGTGAGGTGTTCACTCACCATTCGGGGGTAAACTCTTGATCACCTTCACGGCGGCATCAAACCTCATCTGGGTCAGGCGCCCTTCATCTTCCACGCGGACGCTCTCCACCTCCATCGTGTCACTCGCAGACAGCACAACAACAACACCTGCAAGCAGTAAACAAACTCACGACAACTGCAAAAACAAAAACAAAACGTTAAAAGCGTTTGTTTATAGCATTTATGCTAGCTCGGAGCAGCAGTTTGGTTTGTTTTCGTCTGCAAACGAGCAGACTTTTGCGACGCTAATGCGACCAGCTATACTTGAAAGTTAACTGTCTACAATATGTTACGACCACCAGTAGGAGGAGGCTGAGCCAGTTGGATATCTAGGACACAACGTTTAACGTGTGGCACAGCTTTAGCGACACTGTCGTTCCCGCTAAACGGTATCTACACTGACACACTTTCGAGAAAGAAACCGCTTAAAACCGTCGTTACTTACCGTTAAAATCACGGGCCTATCTGTTTGTCAGAAGGCGACTTGTCATTAGCCCTTGACCAGACGCCATGAACAGCACACACTGTGGGAATTGTAGTCTTATTGTTGTATATCGACGGCGCCTACAAACTCCACAATCCTCTGCGTCCACATGAAGAAAACAAACAAAACAAACTGTGAAAATATGGTTTGGATATAAAAACAACATATTAAAGTCAAACAAGTGAGAAAGCTGATGAGAAGTGAAATATATAATGTTATTTCGCTCTTATGGCTGAAAACACAAACTCATGTCGCGACAGTTCGACACGCAAAACTACATATCCCAACATGCTCTAGACAGATCCATGTTTTTTCTTTCCCCCTCCCTCTTCGTTGGAAAACTGATAGGTCGATAGCAGAAAAAAGCTAGAGCTCTCACTTTGTCCTTAGATCCTTTATCTTATCTGTCTGAAACACGCCTTCTTCCCTAAAGCTGCGACACTGAACGCGATCCTACAATAACTGCATGCAATATTCTTCTACCTAATTCCTCGTCCACACCTCGCGACATACATTCTGATGTAAAGTGGACTTACATTACATATACATACCCTGCTAATATATATTCCCACATCTGTATAGGTATGTATCTTTCTGTATCTGTGGTTCAGTATGAACTCAGGGCTAGAGGTATGCTTAAAACATATATAAAATAAATATTTTCTTCAAATAAAAATCAAAATTCTTTATATTTTGCTTTCAAGTAGCCAGATGTTCTTGTATTATTATTTTTAAGTGCTCTTGAGCAAAAGTTCCCCAGGCTTTCTGAATTCTTTCTAAGTTTTTCTTTGGATATGGGCTGCTGAGGATTTTTTTCCTGTTCATTAAACCCCTTATAAAACTGACCTGTGCATCATTTAAGCATAAGGAAAGAAGCCCAACTCAAGAGAGGACCCACTGTTGTATCTATGCATAACTTTTTGTGCACTTTATGTTCAATATATGTATTTTTGTTGTGCCTGAAATGAACAAATAAATGAATGAATGAAATTAAAATGAATGAATAACAGACAAACCGGTAAAGAACCAATTTTTAAATTTAAATAGTGTCTTTAGGCACTTGTTTTACTTTTAGTCTCATCTAAAAAATCCCAAAGATAACACAGTTTGACAGGCATAAATAGAATTTTTGAACCAAAAACCTAAAAACTCAGCACAGTGTGCAGTGCACCCTTAAAAATTGAGGACAAGTGGAAGACAAAAGAAGAGGTGCTAGGCCTAAAAAGCGATCAACAGCAGATAAACAGTGTCTGGAAGTCTTGTCCTTAAAAAAAAAGAAAGAAGATAAAACCCCGAAAGAGACTGGACTCATCAAAAAGACATTCAAAAGAAGACAATCAAGCGTATTATAATTGTACAAACTGGTTCTGTCTTTCATGCTATATTTCGCATGTATGTTCGCTCATGTTTCAATAACATGTTTGACATTTTCCAGGAAAAATATCTAGAAATGAAGGCTGGGTCAAAATTTTGCTCAGTACTGTCACAACAATGAATTTAAAATGTCTAAAAATGTTCTATTAATTTTAAAAATGTAGCATTTTCTCTGTTGTTATAAAAAATGTTGCCATTTAGAATATTGTAGAATATACTGCAATAAGATAACGTTTTATTCTGCACCATTTCCTTCAAAAAATAAAATAATAACTCACCTAAAATTACTTTCTTTATTCCAAAATTACCATTTTCATCCAAAATGAATTAAAATTTCTAAGTAAAACTGGTCAAATACATATATTCACTGTAAATTATCAATTTGGCTTTTTTTTCTACAAATGTTTTCCTAATATATCTCAAATACTCTCAAATACACTTGTTTCTCCTGTTCCTTGTGCTGAATTAAAATGAAATAAAATCGAGAGTAAAATGTTCGTACACAATATTGCGGGTGTAGTGATCCTCCTCATTAGTACACACGATCTTCGCTTTGACGTTAAGCCAAAGCGAGGGCAGGCAGGAATCCCACAATAGCAGGCAAAGGGTTTTTCTTTTTTTTTTTTGAGGCAGAGCTGGGCTGGTGGCTGTTTCAATCAAAGGAAAGGCAGAGAGGGAAGGGAGGCTCTGCGGAGAGATGTTAAGATGGCAGAGCTACAAATGTTGTTAGAGGAAGAGATTCCGGCCGGTAAAAGAGCGCTCGTGGAGAGTTACCAAAACCTGACGAGAGTAGCAGACTACTGCGAGAACAATTATGTCCAGGTAAGTGAGTGAGCCACAGGGTTGTTGTATCTGTGGTCCGCCTTTTGTCGCGGAAAGCTCCGGACTGAATGGTTGTTGGGACAGGAAACGTGGATAAAGAAGTGGACTGGCTCGTCAAATGATCCCTAAAAGCTCGGAGCTGTGATAACACTTTACCCACGGGGCTTTTACGGCCGTGGGACGTTTTAAAGAGCCCCCGTCTGCCCCGCACCATTGATCACATTCATTCCGTTTACACAGAGGGTGTGTCTACTTTTTCTTTTTTAACAAAAAAATTAGTAGTACACTGGCTCGCTTCTAAACTGCCTCCACTGTCACTGCTGATAAGGAAGGCCCATGTGTTTTTTTGTGTGTTTTTTTAAAGGCAGGCCATTGATTATGTTACACCCTATCCTAAAAGATAGTTTTATTTCGAGGACAAAGTTACAGCAGTTTCGTTGCTTTAGTAGTGAGTTGGGTTTACGTGCGTTAAAGTGAAAACCACAGTATAACTACAAGTCTACATGAACGTAGCAGCCCTTTACATTCCTTAAGGTCAATAAACTCACCATTTAATACCACAAAAACAGTTTAAGCCCCCCACTGGGATACTTCAGGGACGTTAAAGTGATGCTATACTGTCTACATTATGGACTTGCGAGCACTTAGTGCAAATGCTCTGATGTTTATTGTTGCTGCATTACTTCTAAACTGTTAAATGTACTGTAAAATCATAGAATGTGCAGAAAGCAGCTTGTTCAGGATAATATAGTTGGCTTGGAGCTGGGTTGTGAAGCAGAGAAGACTATAAAGTCCTTGTTAGTTGGTCAATAAAGGTTGGCAGTATTGATTTTTTTTTTTTTTTAAATCCCTCATTCAGATTATTCATGCTTTAATTTCTGCTAGGTTTCTTTTTCATAACAAGGCAGCTAATTTACTGTAACCTAATACAGGGAGTATTACTGTGTCTGCGTGCTGTTTTTTCTAGAATAAATGTGGGCCAGGATGTGATGTGACGTGATTACCATGCTGCAACTTCATTACAAAGTCTAATAACCACCAATGGCTTTGCTTTTTTTAGGGCACTAGCAAATGTGGTGAGCCGCTGCTAAAAAAGACAGAGCACCAATGTGACAGGCAAACATTTGCAGTGAAAAGAGAGCCCACATTTTTTTTTCTCAGCAGGAAGACAACCCACCCATATCAGCTAAAGAGGGTGTGTCCTCTCCAGCTGTACTCCCCAAGGACTCCCTGTAATTTTGTTTTCTTCCTTGTCCTCGCAAGATTAGGCAACTTTGCCCTGCGGCAGGGTGCCTGCGCAAATGCTGCAGGGCAAAGCTTTGACTACTTTGTCTCATTTTTGAGGCCGTCAAGCAGCTTTTCTTGCCACTTTTGCCATAAAGTTGAGAGTTTTCGTTTTCTTTCTGTTTCCTGTGAAAAGCAGTGCTGTGGAACTAAACGTGGGAATTTCCTTGTTATGGGACTTTCTGTGCTACAGCCAGTTGTAGAACGAGAGGTCTCAATGTGATTTCCCACAGTGAAGCAATACTGACAAACTTTAAAATTAAAATAGTCACTTAAATCATAGTTTGTCTGCTGTAAGTTCATTTTTATCAGCATGCCTCGTTTTAAACGCTCGCACTCAGATCTTGTGGTCGAGATGGGTTTGCTTTTTTGTGTTGAGCTCTGAAGTTATTTAAGCTGGTGCGACACAGATAAATTTATATCTGTATGTAGAAAAAGAAACTCGACGATCAGCTGATTCTCATATAAGCAAGCGTTTGGCAACTGTGGGGAGGAAGAACTCCCTTTTAACAGGAAGCCTTAGGCTCATGAAGAGTGCACAACTGGTAGAGGGGTTAGGAGAAACTATTTAAAACTTTTTAATCGTAACAATATTGATTACTAATTTTCAGTTTTTGCCCCTTCCTTCCTTCCTTCCTTCCTTCCTTCCTTCCTTCTTTTCCGTCGTTTTTGCTGCCTTAAATGAATTGCTCAGTTTGTTTGTGCTTTGTCCAAAGTGACTTGCAGTTAGTGCATTTGGGGACTAGAACCAGGCCGGTTTCATCAGATTTCATCACATTAAAACTAGTAAAATAGGCTTTTCTTCTTCTACTTTCTCAAAAATTACTTGTAGATTGAGCTTGATAACGCATGCTTTTTTTTTTTTTTTGCCGTGTAGATCTTTAGAAGATGCTCCCGAAATGGTGTCATAGGACTCAACCCCCTCCAAACTAATGAGCTGAAAACTCGCAAGAGCATCTCAGCGGCTGCCTTCTGATGTCTTTATGTGTGCGTGGCTGTACATAAAAGGTGCAGCAGGAGTGGATGATGCTGACGGGCCGCAGCTCAGTATTTGATGTAAATTTAGTTCAGACTTTAACTAAACTGTACAAAAAGTTCTGCGGCGTGCGTCTGATCCTGCCTCTGTATTTTAGTCGAGCACCTTGTTTGAAGCGCTGACGTCAAAAAAAAAAAGAGGGATTTTTAAGCTTTTCAGCACACGTCGCCAGCTCTCTGTGAAGCGAGTGCACTTTTCATAAGCCCTTTCTGTCTGCTGCAGACACTCTCTCCTGCTCTCTGTGTCTGATAGAAACGCACACACTCGAAAACACGCGCATATCAACATGCCTCAGCTTGACTCGGCCCGTCCTTTCTGCACTCCTCCTTCACATTTCCATCCCTGCTTCTTTCTCTCTGTGCTTGTGTCATCGGGACTTTGGGGTTATGCGGACTATAGTGCAGCTCAGCGGGCTGAAGCAGATTGTGAGAGCTCTGTTTAACCAAGGACAGATCTCTGCCCCACTTTTCCAACTTGATAGTGACTTTTGTTGGTCTGAGAGCGCGTTTCGAGCTGTGCGTGCGTGGCATATGACACACTGACGGGTCAGAGTTATGCTTCCTGTTTGCCCTGCTGACTCTGAAGACCGACTCCCTGGAAATGCCTTTTCTGTGTGTCAGGAAGTGCCTCTAAAAACAAGACAAGATTCGCATTAACATACCTCAGTTCAGTTTATTCTGATTGATCTTTTGATTAGAAAGATTGGAATATTTAGCTGTTTTCAAAACCCCTTTTCATTCATGCAAATCAGAGCCATGTTTGTGTAACCTCTGCGACAAGGACGCGTCTACCGTATGCAAAGTGGGCCACCTGGCCATGTTGGCTAGAGGACGCACTGAGAGGGTTGTCAGCACAGTAATGACACAATTCAGGCTTTAATAGTCATGCTTAGGCTGTATTTGTTATCTATAGAGCTCAGGAAACAACATCATAAAAATGAATTAGTCAGCTGAGTTATTTTTCAAGCAACAAAAGCCAAACATGCTCTGATTTCATCTTTTCAGATAAATGTATTTAGGAATTTCTAATAAAGGTTATTAAAAAGAAGCTAAAAACTAAAAGTATGTGTAAAGAAAATAAAAACAGCTGGACTGATGAAAAAGACTAAAACTAGCTGAAACAATTTTTTACTTGAACAAGAATTATTATTATTTTTACTTTTCGACGGTGTGTTTAAATTTGCCAAACCAACAAGGATCAGGAAGCTAAGATTCCTCTACAGCATGAGGAGATATATTTGTATTGTAATGTCTATTTTCCACTGACAAACACCACCCACATCATGGTGATTTAAAACCAAAACTAAACGGAAATGACCAAAACCCACTTTGGAAACTAACCGAATGGAAACTAAACTGAAATTAGAGCTAATAACTATAATTGATCGGTTTCTTATGTGTATATCATGGTTAACAGGATCTTGGGGAGCACTACTGCATATACATTTAAAGCTATTTGTGGCCCTAAAGGCAGCTGCTTACTGTCTGGATAATTCTGCTGAAAGCTAAAAATGTAAAACTAAAGCTTATCTAAACTTAATAAATATTTAATCTTTAAACTAATAGTGACAAAGTGGTTAAAACCAATAAAGGTTTTCAAGCAAACACGAGTACCACCCAGATTGTGGTAAAAACGTTAACAGCAGCTTATCCTTGTTCCTTTTTTCTTGGTCTTTGGGCAGGTATCCATCAAATGTCTTAAGAGTTCGTCCAACGAAAGTTCAGAGTTTTTTGTTGTTGTTTTTTTTCAGCATAAAATATTGTGCCCGTCAGTTTTTTTACTTAAGGATAAAATCCACTTTTGTTTGTCAAATGTTCAAAAAGTGCAGTAAAACCGACAGATTTCTGTTAAGTAAGGTAACACAGACTCTGTGTTAACTGTATGTGAACAAGTCATGCTTATGTGCATAGTCACTGTTTAAAGGCCTTCTTTAAGCCAGATCTCAGCTGTCATAGGGCAAAAGGAGTGGTACACCAGGACAGATAGTCAGTCCTGCCGATCATATTTAACTCTCTCATCATTTAATCTCTATAGTATAGTGAGATGTTTACAACGGAAAAAAGAAAAAAGGGGAAATGGAAGTGTTATGTAGAAAACCAGGAGGTCATAAGTCAGAGTAAATTCTGTCTTGCAAGAAAGTGTTTTTTTTTTTTTTGTTTGTTTGTGCTGAGGCAGCACGATGCCCACTTTTTCTTTAAAAAAGGAAAAAAGGAAGTGCGGGCTGCTCCTGAATGAGTTGTTTTAAAATATGAGCTTGTGATCGATGCTGGCAGCATCACATGTAAGAGGCGAGGCCTGGCCATCGATCAGTAGTTTGACAATCCCGGTCATATAACCTTGGTGTACCTGTCCTGTGCTGCTTTTCCCAGGAGAATTCGTGAAAGTTTTTCTCTTGGAAGAGGGCCAGTCTTGCCTAAAGGTGATAAATATAGGTTTGTGTTTTTTTTGTTTTTGTTTTTTTTTAACATAGCTCTGCCTCTCTGGGTTACTTTGAGTCCTCATTTCCTGTCCTTTCTCTCTGCCTCTCCCTCTCTCCTGCTCTCTGTGGAGTGGCCTGGTTTTTCTTGCAGCACGGAGAGGCCTAGCGGCTCTGAGCCTACCAGCCAGACCCATTCATCCTTTTGACCACCTGTCACTCCTCCCCCTCAGCTGATGGGGTTGGTTTGATCCAGACTGTTGA